CGCCCGCTGCTCCCCTCAGCAGTGTACTTCGTCGATCTGCCTGTTCTGCTCCCCACTCTGTCTCTGGTGAAGCCTCTCGCCGCCCCTGAGCCTCTGGCCTGTACCCCAGTTCTGTATGCACAAATAAATAAATCTTTAAAAAAAAAAAAAAAAAGTCCTTGAGAAGCATATATTACCTTTAAAACAACAACTTCCAGCTGAAAACCCCAGGAAGAACTTACTATCATTAACTTATTTCTTACATACATCTGAAATTAAATCAGATTGGATGAATTCATCAAGCTATTGAAATTTACCTTCTAATACACTATGATACATCACTTTGTATCATGTCAGAGAAACTAATACAACTTAACTTGGATTTGGTCCAATCAAAGATGCCTTAAAGGCATATTTGAGAGCAAATCAAGTTACTACTGTAGAAAAAAGAATCCTGAATGGAAAGCAACTGCTAGAGGGTGAAGGGGAATGAAAAGTCTTCTGTTGATAAAACTAAGATCTATAAAAACATGTAGGGAGTGGGGTGAGAGAGGTAGGAAGTAATACCATTATGCAAAAGAGTGGTGAACACATGAATTTGAAGGCAAACAGCTTCAGCTCATCTAAGAATAGTCAAGAGAAACACCTAAAAATGATTTTGTGAGTGGTATCACACCCATTCCCACTTCCCATAAGTTTTCAATTAGAGAAACTCTATTTTTACAGTAACATACAAAATAAATCCCAAATGAAAATCTGCCTTATGAAAACTTTTGATTTTATATATACGTACAACAATGAAAAGGCACTTGGCTAAGTGAGGCTAGCTAATTGTTTAAGACTACATTAAGACTAAGCTCCTCTACCTTATCTACCACATTTAACAATAAAGAAAAAGGATTCACTTTATTTAACTATAAAGAAAAAGAGTCCAGTGATAGTGGGCACAATCTCTGCAAAATAGTCTAAGTTTTAACTTAAAAAATTTATTTCACCTATATTATAGAAATAGTACAGACAATAAATTGAGACAATTAAAAATATAATGTTCATGTCAAAACTTGCTTGGCTAGTTGTCTATATTATTCAAAAGAATGTATCTTAATACTAATAGTTTTAAGAGATCAAATAAGGTAAACAACTTCTCTAATTTTGTTAATTCACAAATTACATAATGCACATACCTTTTACGATGGATATATATGTGGTTTTTTACTGATTCCTTAAAATTCTTTTCTATTACAATTTATTGTGAAAGGTACGAAAAGACAGGAAGGAGAATAAAGAGGGAGAAAGGGAAGAAAACTAACATTATTTCTTATAAAATATCATTTTCAATAATGTGTCAGCAATTTTTCTAATTCCCTTAAAAAGTAGGAACTTTTAAGAAACTTGGTCTGTTGGGTTTAGAAACCTTATATTCATTCTGCTTAGATAAATTATAACTAAAATATTAATACCCTTGTCTTCCCTCCTTGGATACATCCCCCCACACACATGCCAAACATGCACACATATGAATTAAGTATCTACTTAATGCATTTATTAATATAAATAAAGTACTCCAAAAGGAACAATATCTAGAGAACAATAAATGGTAGAAAGAATAAAAACACACAGCAAGCTAAATAAGTCAGAGCATAATTATTTATTGACTATATGTCCAACACCATTCTTATTTCAAGTAAGCCAATTGTTTCAGATCTAGACAGGTATGGCACCAAAATCTCATTGAGAGTCTATTTCTCTCACTGATGTATGAAAAGGAGCAAAAGGAAATAACCCAGCCTTAAAACCTAGTGTATAAAAGGACAGTTCTAGGTACCCCAAAAGTTTTATGTATCCTTATCATCCTACAGATAGCAATTGCGTAAAGCATCTTACTGATGTTTCTTCAATGCAACTTCCAAATACACTGTAAAGAATGAAATATCCTGCAGAGTCAAGTTGCACTTTAAACTTCACTCTGAGTTTCAGATTGTAGCAACTCTATGCAATTAACATTTGGATCTGTGCTGAACGGGGATAGGAGACTTAAAATCAAACGTTTTGATTCAAATTCTCAATAGTTATAACCACGTGGGGGGGGGGGAGGAAACAAACTGGTGTCACTAGGATCCTTAGGAACAAAATTAATCCTGGGGGAGATGCAGCTAAAGTGAATCCCCCAAGGTTTGACCTACAATACCTCAAGAACCCCTGGATTTAGATCAATTGGGGGAAGGGGGAGGAGTCAGAATCAGGTTCCTTATTTGAGGAACTGTCAATCACATTACTGGCTAAAGCATTATCTGAAATACCACTAACAGTTACCAAAGTTGTGTGTTACCATAAAAATGAAGATTTATACTAGAGTAAACCCAAATATGAGTTCTATTTTTAACTCAAAAGAAAAATAATTTAATTTTTTAGTGCAAATACAATTACTCTTTTACAACCATGTAATTATTTGATAAATATTAAACCACGAGAAAGTGCTCCACAGGATGCTTTTTTTTTTTCCAAAGATAGTTTCAAAGTAATTTTCACAAGCTAAAGAAACAACTAAAAATTCCAAATCGGCCCTCCCTGATGGCACAGCTGGTTAAGCACAGCACTAAGAAGCTTAAGCCACTTCCTCATGAGTTCGATTCCCAACTGCCAGGTGGAGATCCACATGGCGAGGCAGACCTCTCCTGGCCCTTCCGCTGCTCCCCTCGGCAGTGTACTTCATCGATCTGCCTGTTCTGCTCCCTACTCTGTCTCTGGTGAATCCTCTCAACCTCCGAATCTCTGGCCTGTACCCCAGTTCTATATGAATAAATAATAAATCTTAAAAAAAAAAGCTACTAAGTCTACTCTGATTATAAGTGATTCAGACCACCTGATTTATTAAATTGTGTCTGTTATCAAATACTATAGTCCTATCTCATTTTACTTTTGCAAAATGAAAATGTTCCACTGAAAGATATTTTTACAATAATTATTTCCTCAAACCCAATTTTACTCTAAATGGAATAGGATTAAAGCTGCAAATACCAGAATCAAGAAAAGGAAGAAACATATTATACAGGAAGCCCCCAAAGCCCACCTTTCCTCCTGACTGGCATGCTGGGTCTTTCCTCTGTCACAGGATTCAAGATCTCTTTTCAGGTATCAACTTGATCCAGCTGTGTTGAGGCCAAAAGCCAGGTAACTGTTGCAACCACTTCAGTGTGTAGCTCTGAAATCCCAGCTGTCTTCTATTTCAAATAAAGAAACTAGTAATGTGGTTTTTCCACAATTAAACTTGTCCACAGTTTAGAGAAAAATAACTTTTAAGTTTTTCAAATTTTATAAAATATTTTTTTAAAGCTGAGAAAATTATTGTAAGCATAGAAAACGTTAGTAAAACTCGTCGGGCAGCAATTTTGGAGTTCAATGACTAACTTAAGTAAGGCACAAACAAAATTTACACAGCTGTCTTACTATTCTATACATAATGGGATTCGAAGATGAAGCGACTGATGATAAAGATCCTCAATTCTTTAAAGTGTCCCTCCAAAAATAATACTTTTATAAGCCTCTTTGACTGTGGTCTCTAAAAAGGTGGGTGAGTTTGAACAGTTTTCCAGGGCAAAAGACCGTCTTGAAAGGCCCTTTTCTAGTTACTGAAGCAGAAGTTCCCGGTATCACCCCCTCAAGACAGAATCCAGCTTGTTCTCACTTTTTTTTTTTTCTTCTGTGCTCTTCAAGCCCCTCAGGTTTGATCCTTAATATCCCACTGATTCTGATCGTCCCAAGTGTTAGCAGAGAGGACTGAAAAGAAGGAAAGCAATCCTTTGGCATGGAGACATTAAGGTGACAGCGCTACTCAATGGGCACTTGATGCAGGATGAGTTGGCGAAGCCGATTTCTTCCTACTGGAGTCATTCACATCTCGCCATCGCTTTGCATCCAGGCAGCTCCTTATCCGGCACGGAAAGACAGACAGCTGGAGACAAGTCAGACCTTTCCCCAAAGGTGTTTTTTGAGACGCTGTAGTAGTTTTAGGCATGTAAGCATAGCTGTGCAAACGGCTGGCGATTTCCTAAATGAAAGGGATCCTCTGCTGGGCTTCCACATCCACTTTCTCTCCAGACTACCCACCTTCCTTTTGCGGAAAAGACAGGAATCTCTCTGCTACCGCTGGCCACCCCTGCCCACACCCCGTTCCGAGATCCACGAGCACTGAAATGTCCTGCGCCCTCCACGCGATGAAGCGTTTCCTCAGGCAGGAGAAACAGTAGCACTAGAAATTATATAACTCTCGAATTTGGCTTCTCTAAGATATGGAGACTGGAGGGTCGGGGGTGGCAGCTCTGGGAGATACTGCTGGGCACTTAACATGCACAAAAGGGCGCCGGCCTCCTAGCAGCGCCCCCCACTCCGAAATACCGGCTGACATGGGAGCCTTCTTGTGGAGTGGGGTGGGAGGCGAGGGGCAAAATGCTCCCTGGTTCCTTTCCAAGCAGGACAAAAGGATGGAATATGAGAGGACTAAAGATTAGGAAGAGGAGTCGGACGGTTGCCTGGGGAGGAGGCCACTCGGGGCTGCTCGGGCGGGCGGCTGGGGACTTGGGGGGCGGCGGGGAGAGAGTACCAGAGAAGTCCGAGCGTTAACACATAGGCCTAGCCCGAGGGGCGAGCTCCCTGAGGAGAGGGGCGGGGAGCTTGACCCCAGCTAGCGGAGCTACCCTGAGGTGAGGCAGGCGCGCAACATCCCTGCGCTCCAACTGCCTCGCGTTGCCCTCAGGTCGAAAAAAGAGGCTGGCAAATAGCAGAGAGCGCCGGCGGGCCGCGGTCCAGGGCCACGGCGTCTGGACTTCTGGAGCCCAGCTAGAGACCACAGCTCCCACACGGCGAGCGCAACCACAGACTGACGGAGGGCGCGGCTTTTGACTGGGTGGGGTCAGGCCAAGCAGCCCGCGACCGACGCAAACCCGCACCCACTTCCCGCCCTGGGCTTTCTGGGTCCCCGCCCACCCTCTAGTCACGTGAGCCGCCAAGATGGCGGCCCTGGGGCGAGAAGCTGGGGCTGGTCCGGGGGCTGCTGGTGTGGTGCCTGTGGGAGCAGTGGATGCGCCCAAGGTAGGCCTGAACTCGGGTGGTGTGGGTCATGGCTTCGGCAGCCTCAGAGTGCTACCGACTCTCGAAATGGTACACAGAACGGGGACTTGAAAAGTAAATGAGAACTCCCAAGTCCACACTCAGCGCAGACTATTAAGTCCTCAGTTGGAAACCTGTAGTCCTGATCCCGTAAGGTTGTTATCCTTTGCGCCTGGACCTTTGCACAAGCTGTTACTTTCAACTTGGAATACTATGCTCATAACCACCTCACCCCCACCCCCCTTCCCCCGCGAAATTTTCCTCTTTCGGGTATTTGCTTAAACGTCGTTACCTCCGGGAAGCCTTTTCACACTTTCCCTGGCAAGGTTAAGCTTGACTTTTCTATTTATTATATTGTTTGATGACATTCATTCAGAGTTTAAATTTCTTGCCTTTTTTCCCGACTTCCGGCTGGATTGTGGGTTCCAGAGACCACCACTAATCTTCATTACCCCAGGGTTCTGGCAAATACCAGGTGTGTGAGGATCAGATGAAATAACGCACACAAAAACGTTACAAAATTGTAAAATCTTTGCAAAATATAAACGCATATGTTGTGCTTTCTTACTGATAGAATGGGGATGACCAGCTGAGCAGCCCGATTTTTATATAAAATCCTGGTTTTAGCATAAAATTTTTACATCTCAATACTTCTGAAAAGTCTGTCAGAAAGTTACCAGTCTTTATCTGACTTAATAACAGTTCCTTCTCAGGATTCCTTACATGCTGTTTCTGTCTTGTCAGAACGTCAATCTTGGAGGTCCGTGTTCCCTATGTATTTAGGATGTAGCAAAGTGGGAGTTTGGTATAGGCACTATCTGGATATTTTATTTCTGGGAAGTTATTACTTTAATGAATGGGATGACAGAAAAATAAAAATAAAAATCCAAGGTTTCAGGTTAATTGTCAGGAACCTTCTAACCCCAGAGCTTAATGCCATGGGACCAAGCTCCTTAGTATACCACATAGCACTTTCCAGCACAGGCCTTGCTTCCATTCCAATTGGGTACTGCTTGCTGAATATATAATTTATATTATCCAAGATAGCCATGCTTTACTACCTCTTCCTATCTGGAACAGTGCTCCTCATGTTCTCTTTGACTGTTCTCCAAAGGCATCCCTGTTCTCTCTTATTTCTTCAGGAAACTCAACATTATCTCCAAAAAGAGCTCAGACTTTCATGGGAAACAGGATAGAAACAGTTGTCAACAAGTGGGTATTATTTCCATCTGCCATCAATTTCCTATTCTGTGAAAATACCAGAATGAGGTAAACTACAAAGGACCTTAAGGGAACACAAAATTTCAACTAAGCTGTCTCTACACTAGGTCTTGAAACTTATCTGCCTTTCTGGGCTGCATTTTTCTTGTAGTGGAGATGATCATCTTATTAACTTCTTAAGTGGTTATATGATCGGAAAACAGATAAGAGCTTAACTAAATGTTGATTGATTGTTGATGTAAACTATGTAGAGGTATTACTAGACTAAATGTTTTTTAAACTGAATCTGTGGAATCTGTACAATGTAATGTTAACATTATTACCTACTGTGTTTTCCAGGACCTCAAGATGGCAACATATACACATGGTCAACCCAATCCAACTCTAATAGATGCAAAACTCAGAACATCAATGATCAGCGAAGTCATAGAAAAAAAATTTGAGTATCTTACAAAAGAAAAGTAAGAGATACACCTTGTTTGGAAATCATTAAACTTTATTTTTAGATCTGCCAGTATTTCTTAGTACCTAAGATCCTCAGAAACTTATTTCATTGATTTTGAAAAACACTTAGGAAAAAACCGGAAGGACAGGTGAAAATACTGGTTTGTTGGAATATTGATACTGTGGATCATTTGCTTTTTAAAAAAATCTCCAAAATTGTGGTTCAAATGTTATGTCTGTAATAAATGTATTTTTTAATTAAGCATGATTAGGAGAACACTATTTTGGGAGCTACTTATATTTAATTGATGGTCAGTTGTAATTAAATTTAGTTTAGAATTGGTTTCCTCAAACATATTGCTAATTCAGCAAACATATTGCTAATTGCATTCCCTGATGTACATGTAGTCTTTAATCCATTCAGAGCTTAAGAATAAAATTGAAGGATTCTGATCTTTGACCTTAGACATTTCTATGTTTAATGTTGAGTAAATATTGATTGTATGGGAAACGTGCATCTGTTGTGAGAATATTTTGTTGAACTTAATTTTTCTCTCATTCCTAATAGGACTTTAAATATAAAGGGAACAGTGTTCTTAGGAACAACAGCTAGTTTCTCTGGAATGTTGGCAAACTTCATTTTCAGAAGTTGCTTTAAGGTTCAACATGAAACCCTGAAGACATATACATCATTAACTGCACTTCCATTTTTGTCTACTGTAGTAACTTACAAGCTCCTTGTAACTGATGCTTTGAATTCAGGTAAATTTTCATTTGTTTGTCTATCCATCTATTTTAAAAATGTGTGTCTAAGTAAAGTAAGTAATATATACTGTTGCTACTGCTGATAACATACTTTATACTTATATATTGTTTTACCATTTCCAAAGTGCCTTCATGTAAATGTCCTATTTCATCCCTTAAGATTCCTAATTAGGCAGAGCAACTAGTATCATCTGTTTTTTACAGATAAGCAACCAAAGCTGAGACATGTTTACATAAACAAAGAAGCGACATATATTACTGGGAGACAGCAGACTTTTGTATAGTACTCAAGATTTCAGATTGTCTCTGGAAACATTCTCTACCTTCAAAGCATTATGTACATTTAAAATTAAGTATTTAAATATTTGTCTAATGTAGTTCTTCTCTGAAAGACTGGCCAAAAGATGAGTGAGTGGGTCTCTTTTATGCAGCACTCTACCCCCAGGACCTGATACATATCTGGTACAGAGATAATAAAAATATATCAGCAAAGAATTCACGTTTCGGCTTGTAGTTTAATATTCTTCATTATTAAATTGCTCTGTGGCCAACACATATGTAAGATATAAATGTCACTACAAAAGTATAATAAAGACATTTTAAAATGATCTTTCTACTGTTTCATTGTAGTTCTAGACAGTACATACAGTTACTGTATGAGGGCTCAAATTATCTTAATAGTTCTTATCCATAGTTTTAAATGGAAACCAAATTTACTTTTGTTTTCCAGGTAACATAAGCCAGGAAAATTGTGTTCTGAGAAGTTCACTGGTTGGCATAGTATGTGGTGTTTTATATCCCAGTGCTTTGGCTTTTTCTAAAAATGGACATCTGGCAGTCAAGTGAGTCCATCTGTTAGTTCCTTTTCTTCCTTTTTTCTTTTGGTTAGTAAACTTCTTAGGTTAGTAAAGTTACTGCTAGCACAGTTTTTTTTTTAGTATTCATTTATTTATGCATACAGAACTGGGGTGCAAGTCAGGTGCAGGGGTAATGAGAGGATTCACCAGAGATAGAGCAGGGAGCAGAACAGACAGATAAATGAAGTACACTGCTGAGGGGAGCAGCAGGCGAGATAGGAGAGGTCTGCCGTGCCACGTGTGTCACCTCTTTGGCCTGCGATTGGGGATCAAATTCACACTGAGGCTAGATCACAGTGCTGTGCCTCAACCCATTGTGCCACTGGGGAGGGCCCTAGCACATTTTAATCAAACTGTAGTAGTCTGGTATTTCTAGCAGCTAACTTTGAACCTTTTTTGCTATTTACATGAAAGTCCTAGAATGGAAATTATTATTGAAAATAAATCGACATTTGCAGAATATACATATCCAGGAGAAGTGGTTTACTCTTTTTTCCTTTTTAGGTATCATACCGTTCCACTCCCACCAAAAGGAAGGGTTTTACTTCACTGGCAATTACTTTGTCAAAAAGAGATAAAGGCAATGGCAATCCCACTAGTCTTTCACACAGTCTTTGCAATATTTACGGGGCTGCGTCATTATGCAATACTTGAAAGTACACTTGAGAAAAATGTACATGAAGATTAATCAAAGAACACTAAGCCTGCTGAATGGATATCTTATGGTGATAACTCAGGTGCTGCTTAAATAGTTAAAAAGTAACTCTGGGCAACTTGTTTCTGTTCCTGTTTTCTGGTATATAAAAGGTACTCAATAAATATTTAATAATTCAGTCAATAAATGTAAGTTTTATCTTTGTTTCCTCATTGGAGCTATCTTTACTCTTATTTATTAATTCATCAAATATTTGCTGAATATCTGAAGCACTACTTTATATATATATATTAAGTAATCTTTACCCAGAGGAAGTCACAATTCGAAGAATAAAAACTGTGAACACATAAGATATGGTTTGAGAGTTATCACATAACTAAGCAGGCACATTAATGATGTCGATGATAAATACCTGCACATCAAGGAAAGCCATGGAAAAAAGTGGCATTCTAACTAAATTTTGAAGGAGAAGTTGAATGTTCATAAGAAAACAAAATATGAAAATAACTTAGAGCCTCTACTCTAAATGCTGATTAATTATACTTACTAAATTGTTACCATTAACATTGTCTTCATTGTACTGTTGGTTTTTTTTAAAGATTTATTTATGCATACAGAACTGGGGTACAGGTCAGAGGTGCAGGGGCAGTGAGAGGATTCACCAGAGACAGTGGGGAGCAGAGCAAGCAGTTGGAAGAAGTACACTGCTGAGGGGAGCAGCGGGCGGGTCAGGAGAGGTCTGCTGAGCCATGAGTCATCAGTGGGGCCAAGAATCGAACTCACACTGAAGCAGCTGCAGCTAGCTTGCAGTGCTACATCCTAACCTATTGTGCTACCAGAGAGAGCCCTTCACAATACTGTTTAAAGAAAATTTATTGAATTTCTATTTGCAAGCGATGACAGCATATTTTGTTTGTTTTGTTTTGTTTTGTTTTTTTGAGTGCTCTAGAGCATTTTTTTTTTTTTAAAGGAAGTTTATTAGAAAGAGACGGGAGAAGGGAAAGACACTTGGTTAGGTGCAAGTGGGCAGGAAGAGCTGCCCTGAAAGGGACAGGTTTGCAGGGAAAGAGACCTGCATGGTTGCAGGCAGGCAGTCTTAGGAAGAGGCCTCCCCTGACCTGAGGGAGGTCAGTACAAAGAGCTCACGGCATGGTACAGATCACAGGTAGGCAGGAGGCCTGCAGAGGGAGAGAATGGGTGGAAAGAAACACCTGCATAGGCACAGGTGGGCTGTGGAGTGGCTGTAGCTCTAGAGCATTTTTGAGCTACACAAATATTAATCCAGGAAATGAATCAAATAGAAACATTCAGTTCATTCTGCTTATCTCAACCATATTTATCTTAAACTAAAGATTTGGTCATTGAAATGCCAAGCAACCCAGAAATAGAGTAGATAGGTGTTTTACGGTGTCATGAATAACAACCTAAAATATACGCACTCTTTCTAAAGAAAAATAAATTTAGGTAGCCAAGCAGCAGTTTACTTTCAAAACAATTTATGATATGAAATTGAGGAAAGAGGTGGCAGGTGATGGGATTAGGAAGCAGACAAGATGGAGGACTAAATTAAATAACCAGGCCATATTGTAACTCTTAAGAAATTATGACATAACAAGTAATAAGTTCCTTCTCATTGTATATATTCAAGTAATCCAAAATACAGAAAGCATCACTTGAAATATCTCTCTTTACTTCTACTCTATCCTGTTTCTACTCCATTTTCCAGAGGTAACCACTATCAAGTTAGGATACCTCTTTCCTTACTGTATTCTTTCTTACCTTGACAGTTTTATTTAAAAAATGATATCCTCCATATGTGTGTGTGTTGTGTATACATATATATGACATATAAAGTGTGTGTGTGTATACACACACACACACACATATATATACTTTATATGTATACTAAAAATTGACTTTGTTTTATGTCTTGAAAACTTGGACTTACTACACATAGGCCTAACACATTGTTTTTAGTGACTGACTAAAGCTCTTAGTGACTAGTATTCACATAGATGATCTTTACAACACCTTGTTTTCTATGTATTCTAGACTATTGCTGTCTAATATAGCCACTAGCTATATGTGGCTATAAAAAAGAATAAAATTTCTCATTGGTTACATGTTGAAATGTAATTCTTTGGGATATACTGGGCTAAATATTATACCTTGTCTTCAGGGGTGTATATAAATACCCTAAACTTTAATCTGCTTTCTAAAAAGTTATTAGGAAATCTTAAATTATTCATACTTTCAATGCATTATTTACTCTCAACCTTGTCAATAAATTTAAATTTTTCACATCAGCACTTCTAAAGTTCCCTTTCCCATTCCCATCCTAGTTCATTCTCATGCCACAATTCCAACATTACTTCAGCACATTGGTCTCTTGTTTTCTTTGGTGAATTTTCTCTCCATGTCTTTGGCCCATTTGGTTTATAGTAACTAAGTTCTGAGTATTATATTTCTTAATGTCCTAAGTCAATAATCTAGAGAACACAGCAACGCCGTCTTATGTTCACCTCCCCTGCCAACTGAGAACTGAAAAGATTTGTACCTTACTCCTAATATCAGCTTGCCTTTAAAATAGAAAAAGCTAGGAAGGCTATCAGTATTTTTACTTGTTTTTTGAAAGCATTTGCCAAAGTGACTAATTAAGGTCTGAAAGTGGAAATTAGTGAATTTTAATATGAATTGGAGTCCAAAAATGAAGTTAGATAAACCACAGTAAGTAAGTAAAGACAAGATAATTTAGAAGTATTTACAGTCCAGAGTTCCACTCTCAAGGTTCAAATACTGCCTTGACTTAACCAAGTGAACAACTTATTTCACCCCTTATTGTGATACATTCAAATTTAGAATTATAGAAAGGTACACTTAAATTTCTCCCTATACTCACCTAAGTTTCCTCACCTGTAAAATAAGAAGTAAAGATTGTACTTCCCTCATTATGTCCTCAGGATTAAGAGTTCACAGACCTATAAGTCAAACCATGGCAGCTCATAGAGATAAGTTGTGTATGTGTTACTCTGTATTATTGTGTATACAAATATATATATACTAGTCACAAAATTTATGTGTTACTCATTGTTGCTGCACACCAACTCTCACAATTGTTTTCCTAACCTATGGTTACTATAGTCTATAGATAGATATATAGTTATCTAATTACCACTAGCCTATATAGTTTAAGCAGTATTCCAAAATTAATTAGAAAGAAGCACAGCAAAGGAAATGATCTCAAGTATCTTTCATTCAGTAAATATATATTCATTTTGTAAGTTAATATTAATTCAAAACCAATTACATAAAGGATATTATATCACCAATTGGAAAATTAACCTTTCTGATTGTGTTTCTTCTTAAAGCATACTAATCATAGTTTTGCAGTAAGTATGTAAATACTAAAGTGCAAACACAAAATGGAGATATTGCAGGTTTAATTCCAGGATACCATAATAAAGCAAATGTTAAAGTGAATACATGAATTTTTTTATTCCCCTTTGTATATAAAAGTTACACAAACACCATACTATAGTCTACTAAGCGATGTGCAATGGTATTAAGTCCAAAATTGCATACATTAATTAAAAATAGTTAATCATCTGAGCGTTCAGCAAGTTGTAATCTTTTTGCTGAAGGATCTTGTCTTGATGATGTTGGCTGCTGACAAATCATGTAAGGGCACACCAACAAGACAAATATGACAGCAGTCATAGTTCCCAAAGAAACTAAAGAATAGGGAAGAATAGAATGGCATGGTCACAATTCTTAAACAAAACCACCAGTTAATACTCTTATCTTGAAAAAACATCATTCAAATATGATGGAGGAATAGTAGTTTTACCTGGTAAACAAAAGCAAATAGTATATACCATCTATATCCACACTATAGAACTATAGTATATACCACCAGATCCACACTATAGAAAATGTTGAAAGGAGTTCTACATGAAAAGAACACAAAATATTAAGGTATTTGTCATAAAATTGAAACATCAACAATAAGAAAGTGAAATAGTAAAACAGTAAAAAGAAAAGAAATTGCATTTGTTTAGACATGAAAAATTGATTCCAACCATAGACTACTTTAGATAAAGTTTAATACAAACCTCATGGTACACATAAAAGATAAAATGGCAGTAATTTAGCATCATGTCAATAATCATGAATGAATTACATGTGAATGTGCTAAGCTCACCAATCAAATGACTGAATGGCATATTACATTTGATCTTAGCCACAAGATCAAGAAATGATCAGTCATATTTTGGATAAAAAGGTATAACAGTATACAGAAGTCTAGGTTGAAATACTCTAGAAAAGTATTACTGTCCAATAACACAAAGAAAAAAGCAGGAGCTTCTATTTTCATGTGACAAACTAGACTTTTAGGCAAAAGAGATAATTAGTTACAAGGGAAGTCACTTTTAATGATCAAGGGAATAATCCCTCAAGATGATAATTCTATCATTAATATTTATGTACCCAACATAGGTGTGCTGCATGCATCAGGCAACACCACACTGATAAAGACACAGGAGTCATGGAGCAGGCTATATAATGCAAGATGCTGCTGAAGAGCAAGATCCTGGCCTTTTTATTGATAAACCAGTCACACAGCATTAGTCATATAAGGAAGTAGAAAATGAGAGGTAGAAGTAGAAGAAGCAGGGTGAGTGGAACTATATTTCTCATCTGCTGATATCTTAGTATATAGATCAAGCCCTGACTCCCCAGTCAGGATTTCAATCTCATCAATAAGGCATTCCACTGTCTCCTTCTGGGCCCTTTGTTATGCATCAATTAACAGCCTCCAGGGCATTCCCAGTCATACCTCCTAATGATGTATAAGTCAGGAGTAAGTTTATGCATCTGTCATCAGCCCCCCAGGCATTCCTGGTCATATCTCGTGATACATACTCTTCCCAGGGTGATCTACCTTTATGCTCTTCATTGATTTGAAAGTTACCTCTTAGGGTTGGTATCCCATGACCAGGTAGTTCTGATCTTGCTTTAGGAATACAGAACTGTAGGTAACAAAATAGAGGCTAGATAGGCCATTTAGGATTAGCAGACCCACACTGATGCAACTAAATATATAAAGCAACTACTAACAAAAGTAAAGTAAGTCATTGACAGCAACACAATAGTAGTAGGCAATCTCAACACACAAATTACATCAATAGATCCATATATAAAGAAGACAAGGGAAGGATGGATCCGTAATCAATCAGATGGACTTAATAAACATATACAGAACTTTCCATCCCAAAAGAAATGAAAAATCATTCTTCTCAAGTGAGCATGGGACATTCTCAGGGTAGATTACATTTTGGGGCACAAAATAGCAGACTGAAATTATACCATGTATCTTTTTTCTAAGCACAGGTATGAAGCTAGAAATTAACCACAAAATAAAATTAGGAAGGAAAACCCCTGAGCACATGGATATGAAACACTTGGGTCAAAGAAAATGAAGAGAGGAGTTACTAGAGCCTCTGTGATATAATAAAATTGGTATAACAAAACAGACCCACATCAAGAAAAAAGTCAGAAATAAACAATCTAATTTCACTTGTGAA